GTAGAGTTCTCAACGTTGCCTCCGCCGATGGCTTGGTACTTGACAGGTGAGTCGTGGAAACTAAACGCAAGGGCCCGACTGACTTATTATAAACTTATTATAAACTCAACTTTGACTGGGAGAAGTTTAAAATTGGGAGGTAGTTTTTTCGAATGTCGACCATCCTCGTTGTATACTCTCTGCAAGACCCGATACGACGAGATCATGATGAAGTTGAAGGGCTTGACTCTGCGTTACTCGATCTAGGTGATGCATCATCAATCATTCATCCAGTAACAATTGGAGAAGGGGTGTTTTTACGTAGTAGGAACGCCTGACAATAGTTCTACCTCGGGGGTCTCTCGTATATCAGACGGAATACTCGAATACCATCGAAGGGTAATAGGCCGCTAGCCTTTACCCTCGGTCTAAACAGACAAGTAGACGACGAATGAAGCAGAGGTACGCACTCGTCTCTGTTTGTGGCCGACCGTCGTATCTATACTAAATACCCTCATTGTCCGGGTCCATAAAGCCCGCATCCTTTTAGACTGGAACGAGAGGAAAAAAGATGAGCGGACATGTAAGCCCGGTAGATAAAGAACATACACAGCAAACCTATTGGCCTTTTATCTGTGAGGTTCGGCGTCCGTCCATTGATCCATTTGTCACATAAACTTGCATGCTGGAGGGCAGACGACCACAGGGCTAGTGTTACAAAATGACGGGTCTTCAGGAAGATCAGAGCAAAACACCCGCGGCAATAAGGCTCCTCAGATACGTTCTGTGTTCCGTGGCGAATTCCCCATCATTGGCACAGTTTCTGGCCTGTCCGAGTAGGAGCCTGCGCTGTTCTTGCCACCCAAGTTGGAGCAAGTCAGTAAGAAATGGAGGGACTCTGTATGCAGTCGCAGAGACCTGCACCTTTGTGCGAACGCGAACGAGCTTGGATAAAGTTGTTTTGATCTGGCGTGACTGGAGATTGTCATTGAACGTACCCTTGCTTTTTGTACCCGCGCTCAATCAATCTCTTTTCACACGGTTTTTCTTTCTTTTGGGTTCCGATAGAAGATTGAAGATGTTGAATTTGAGCGTAACCCCCGGCAATACCTCGTTCATCTCTTCCCATAGCTTGGGGGGTAGCAGGTACCCAGACAAAGGTTAAGGTGTAGAGCGAACCACGGGATTCACGCGGGTGAAGGGAAGGAGTAATTTTGGTGGGAGGGAGGAAGCTCAAAACCTATGTCGAAAACATGTTGGAGCTGGGATGAGTCAGGCGGAAAGAGGGGGTTTACAACATGTACACGTCGAGAGTCATACTTAGTAAAAGGCTGAACTTCGTCATTATTCGTTGGAATAGGGACAAAAGTTCTTGTTGGATGATTGCACTGGGAGGTTCATAATCAATCACGGGAGCCCATGAAAGGACTCGTGCTCAGTACTCACTCAAACCAAAGTTATCAGCACGGAAGGACTCGTCTTCTCACCCTCTTCAAGTTCCTCCGTTACCAGTGTGCTGACTCCGTCATTTACATAGAAGGTGAAGGTTCCATCTAATTGATGGCTGGGTCGGGTATGGCCAACTTTTCAGCGGAAGTACGGTTTCTTCCGTGGACGGTGGTGGTTTGGAGCCAGGGAAGCTAAGGGCTTTGTGACACTTTGTGTGATGTGCCGGCGATCTGTCCGGCATTTACCGAGAATGCAGATTCCACTCAAACCAACCCGACGTCCATAATCAGGAGGTAAACTCTTTGTATAGGCCTCCATAAGTAGAAAGCTCCTAAGCCCGGGAGTTGGCTCGTTATCCAAGACCAAGTTAGCAAGCCGCTACAGCTCACCGAGTATCTTTCCTGGAACTCTTAATCAATCCGTAAGTAGTATAGATATCCTTCTTTTCCTTCTAACGATGCGAGTTACACAGCTCACGTTGTGGCAACCAGAATATGCTTGTAACTCTGACCAACGTTGCTTGACTGGATTTCTCTCTAGGATCATCTGGATTCCACGCGAGTCTGATCGTTTGTTTCTCACCTTCTGTGCTGAGCAAAGGTTACTTACTGGGGGAAATAGTGTTCCGACTGAACGTCTGTACTCTGTATCATATAAGTACCACACCCCCTTGAAGCCTCACCTCATCGCAGGGACTGGCTACCAGTGTCTTAGTTTGGGTGGCTAGCTAGGGACGTATAGCTCGTGATTCGAAATGGGTACCGCTTCCTTCTGGAGCTTTCAAATATCGAGATAATGAAGACGAGGTGGGAGCTGCTGGTGAGGGAAACGTGCTAGACGTACTTTGGGGTTGAGAGGATGAATTCAGACTTGGGATGGTAAGTTGATTCCAGCCCAGACACGGTGTGCGGCGTTGTAGATATCAGCCGATTCAGCAGCAAGCGAGTGAGAACACGAACTGAGGAGCCTTTCGGGATTGGAAGAGACTGAGTGTACATTACGATTGAGCGCGGTAAAAAATACAAAGGGTTTCAAGAAATCAGCGATGACATATACTTTTACGCCTTCTCAACGACTCCGACAATATTAGCAGCCTTGTACGGGGTTTCCTTTTGAGTCTGCACAAGAAAATTTACGTTGAGCACGAGTGTATGACGAAGTAAAAGGGAACATACATTGTCATTGCGAATCAAGAATCGGGGTTCGTCTTCGGAAGCCTCCATAACACCCACATCATCAGCTTCTCTTTACTTTGAACGAGATTCGAAGGAAACCTACGTTGACTTGAACGCCCGTGTCACCAGCAGGCCGTTTCTCATCGATGATATCGACGATAACACCCGAGGTGGTAGAGTTCTCGACGTTGCCTCCGCCGATGGCCTGGTATTCGACGTGATCACCAACCTGTGCGTGGAGACGGTGAGTATGATTGTGAGGATTGAAGAAAGGGGGAACGACTGACTTTGTAAGATTTGGAGGAAGACATGGTAGACTGGGTTTGGTTCGAAGTGGGAGTTGTAGGAATGCTGGGACTGTTGGGTGCGACCGTCCTGTTTATATAAACTCTGAGAGACCCAGGATGACGATTTGATGTCGAATATCATGATGACTGGCTTTGCGTCAGTCGATTTAGGTGATACATCATCGGGTGAGAATCGAGAATCGGGGAAAGGGGGTTTTTTATTTTTACGTAGGAGCTCGGGGGAACGATCGGGGTTCCTTTGTCTTGTAGGCACTGGTGGGCGAATGTTGTTTTTTGGAACTTTATCTGTAAGGGAAGCGACGGAAGCGTGGAATGGCTCACAACAGAGCAGCTTGAATACCTCGAGGCTCAAGATGATGAGGTGGAAAGAGTCGTAGACTGAATTATACGTGGATGATGTGCTCCGACGAATGCCGACTCCTTGTTACGGAGGTGACAAGCCGTGACAGACTTCTTTTCCTTCCTGACTGCCGTGACCTCGCTTTGGACTTTCACTCGCCATCAAGAGCAAACTCGGAATAATTTTGCAATAACCTGTACGCCTGCAATTATCGTCGCCCTGGATCTCTTTTCGCTAACGAAATTATCATCATCTTTCGCTCTCCAGCGATGTCAGCTTTTGTACCCTTCGAAAGAGGTTGATACGTTCGATGGGTGAACGATGGGCGCGTACAATTTCTGTTCGTCCTATAGTTGATACCCAACTAAGTGATTTGGCTGATTTGGATTTGCATAGAACCTTTCATAATGTCAAACATATGAATACGTTGGAATCGTCACAATTTCTCCACGCCAAAGATTATTCATCGGCATGCATCCCACAAATAGACTGCGCGCGGGCATCTAGGAAAGCTCATTGCAGGCCTATCCGGTGATGCTCCTGTTGGGACCGGTGCTGCTTCGCTGGGTTTTACCCGTATTCCGAGTATGATAATGGAAAGGACCCTGCTGGTTACTTTTTGGTCACCGCCGAGCGTTCAAGTGGCCGTAGGACGTACACCGGGGACGATACATGGTGGTGTTCGACGACATACTCTCCTTCCAGTGGCCAAGGGTGGGATTGTCAGATAGGGCAAGGAAGTGGGGGTTGTGCGTTGGAGGGCGCCTTGTTCGGAATTCAGCAGCTCGAATGGACAGCCAAATTGTGCGTACTTCCCAGTTTGTCTCTCCTCACTTGTCTGATGATCTCGTTTTCATGGTCTATCTAGCTGCACCTCCTAGTTGACCAATCCGCCAACGTTCCTCATTAACGAAGATTACCTCTTGATTCCTACACTCGAGCCATCTGGACCATCCATTTCTCACCATCCATCTGCGAGCGGAGAGTGCGACTACGTTTGACGTAGGAAGAACCCCTTGAGTTCGCCATCTTCATCGAGCTCTTCGGCCTAGCGCCATGGCTTCTCGCGCTAGCGTACCCTCCCGGCAGTTTTGTGATTACCTTCCAAGGCAGGGCTTCAGAGCAACACATATCTCCAGCTCGTGCATCCCCGACCCAGCGGTCTCCTCCAGCTATAGTACCCCATGGATATATCCCAACTGCCGTACTCCATGAACTGATTTTGCTGGATTGGTTGCCCAGTCACGATGCTTCGTGCTCGGAAGAAGCATTTCGTGTTGGTCTCGGCTTGTGGGGCCCCCTCCCAATCATAATGTCTCCTGTCATCGTGATTGCCCCCGGCCCTACGTTTGATGCTCTTTCGATCCGAACTACGGGTATCGCTGGTAGAGGAAGGGGAAGAATGTGTGTGTTGGTGTGTAGATGGGATAGACGGAAACCGTCGTCGGCATGAACATGTTTTCATGATGGGAAGCATCGCGAACTTGAGAAAATGGTTTGACGATATCGGATTCGCCACCCACTTCCTCCGAAGGCAATCTAGTCAATTCTTCTTCCTTCGTTTCGTTGTTAATATAATACTACCCCTTCTTTCTGACTAGGTTTATCCACACACGCACTCTCCCCCTTACTGCTCTAGTTTCTCTGTGACTCAGTTTACTCGAGGTTCGGCGGCGGAGCTTTGCTTTGCTGGGTTTGGAACGGCCATTATTGACAGCTCTATCGGTATTGATTGGTATGTTGTACATAGGCCGCCTGGCGAAATGGCATCGCGTCTGACTACGATAACATGTATGGAGAGTGATTGTAATCAGGAGATTGCAGGTTCGACCCCTGCGGTGGTCATATACATTTCCGGTGGTTTTATTACAATTTTTTCTCTTGACAGTTTTCTACATCCGGTACACGCTGTAAAACCCTCTAAAGATGTGGCGAGTTCTTCCGGTGCTCCGGGTCGAGTGATGTTTCTCGCTGGTCCAGTCGGTGAGTGCTCGAACTTTAGTCTTTCGTTTGGGACCTGTGAAACGCATCAGCTTTCGATGAGTGATATCTTCTGTCTAATCCTTGAGGCGGCTAGGGCAAATTCGGGTTCGACTGAGTGACTTCAAGTGCCAGTGTGTGGATACTGGGCTTGTCCCCTGAAACCACGCTGTGAATTCTTTGGCCGCTTGGGAAGGGTGCAAATTACTCAATCACATATTAGCTATGTATCATGATAACGGACATGGGTCGTTTGTAATAGAACTGTGTAACCAAGAGGCGCTTTTTACCATTGCTATAGGACCCGTGGCTAGGGAGCGTCAATCCTCGTCAGGCCCCCTGCCAGATCATGCTGAAGCCGCGTGACAGAAGTCCCCTGGAACTCGCGGCTCCAGGATTCGATGCCTGAAAAAAAACTTTCAGTGAGGCGGCTTTGAGGTGTGTATGAGAGAGAGACCGCTCACTTATTCCTCAAATGCTCCGCTACAACTTCCCTCGTCCAAAGTCGTTCGGCGCTGACAGTACAACGGGCACATGACCAACACTCTCGGTCGTCCTTGAGGTTCATCTCTCGTACCTCATCTGGCTTGAGGATCTGGAATACCGGGTTGTCAATCTGGTCTTGTACGTCTTCGTGCTTTAAGGGACTGCCAGTAGCATTTTCTTGGAAAGCATGAATGATCTACCCGAATAGAAAGTGTCAAGTGTCAGAAACGTGAGCTTGAAGGCGAAGAACGAGAAAAGCCACCTACACACTCCACGTCCCAATGAAGCACCCATCGGGACACTTTAAGCACCTATACCACTCCCCTCTCCCATCCATCTCGCCCACTTGGGGGTCAAACATCCTCTCCACACCCAAAGTAGTCCACACAAGTCCGATGGCTGACCGTGAGCGGAAGACAGACACCATTCCCTCACGGGCACAACTCGAGTCAAAAATCCTAGGAGCATCCAGAAAACAGGAGCCTGTGGAGTGTCGTATCGACGTCCACGCTGAACTGAAGACCCGTTGGCAAACCAAGCATTTTCCTTGTAAGTTTGCTAGATCTTCCCGCTCACCGTGGGAGCTGAGTCCGCGTTTGAACCGGTCCAAGGCTGATTCGAGCTCATAGGTAAACGTGTCCTCCGCCCCAGGATTGTTTAATACACTCGTCCAGCTCCTGCTCCTCTGGATCATCTTAGGTGTGACCTCGGCCTTTTCTGGTAACGCGATGATGCGTCTCATCGACGATAAACATCACACGGCCTCTACAGACGGGAGTAGAGAACTGTGCCACGCGATCGGAGAGAGTGAACGTTTGTATGAGATGTAGCGTTGGGTGATCAGTTCGCAACGGGATACAAGAAAGGCAGGGCGTTGAGTTTCGCCAGAAGGGCCGCCTGTGACGACGGCATCAACGGCAGGATTCAGTGTGCTGCGCATACCGGATAAGAGCCTTTTGGCACGAAGGTCGAACTCAGCTTTGATCAGTCGTGGTCCAATTTGCGTCCAAACTGAATACATCTTGGTGTCTCCCTGTCTGTGCTGTATTCCGAGTATAGGCCATCACTGTTCATGAAAGCAATACATATACTAGCTGACGACAATGGGAATTACCCGACCGAGTCTGATCAAAAACTTCGGATCGAGAGCCGCCTGTCTACTGCGACAGGTAGTACCACATCGTTCCCAAAAATAATGGTCATTTTCCTGCGCTCCTGGCTCACTTCCCCTAACTACTCACCATTCCTCTTGGTCTCCACTAGTTTCAGGCCTGGACGAGACGAGATGGTAGCTACGAAATATGTGCCTCAAAGATTGATCTGAATTCCAAGATGAGTTGCTATCTTCGCGGTACTGCTACCGCCCTCTTAATAACACTAACGTTTTCTTCGAGTGGTTTGTTCCTTACCCGACCAAAACACCTCTCTCATTCGACACCAACGGAGAAGAACTATGGATATCTTCCCTGCCTCGACCGCGTGAGTTGCTTCTGATCATATGCTTTATCGTACCGGGATCGACGCAACCTACTCACTTTTGTTCAATTCTGATTTCCGAAATCCTACCAGTGCAACTGAAACAACGACTCGGAGCTCTTCAACCTCCTCCCTAGGTTTTGAAACCCACAATTTCGACACCGTTACGAATAGTGGTGACATCACTAACGATGGCAATGGCTCGGTCTTCAACGGAAATTTCAACACCAGTGGTTCTCAGAACTCACATAACAACTCGGACTCTGGAGACCTTTCGACTCAGTCGTCTATCCTTCCATCTTCAGTACTATCCTCTACATCACCAGGACCTTCGAAAGCAGTCATTGCTGGGAGCGTCGTTGGGGCGCTTGCGTTGACCCTCTGTCTATTATCTGCTTTGGTACTATTCCAGAAGCGTAAGAACAAGCAAAGTGAGTTGCATAGCGTTACTTACTGTATCACTGTTAATCTCAAAGTTCCATGTAGAGAAACAAGAGACGATGATCACGCCGTTACCTTACGGAGCTAATTTTACCTCGATATCCTCCTTCCCTCGCAAGATACGGGCAGCGGCACTCCGAGATCAACGAGCCCAACCCCTAGAATCTGCAAGTGCGGGCATGACAGAGCAACCAACGGCCGATATTCAGGCGCAGTTAACCCGTATACTGCGAAGACTGGAAACGTTGGAAGGGAATGGCTTGGAGAGACCTACACCACCGGATTATGTTTCGATTCATTAGGGTTGTGAGATTCTCAGCGTGATGAAATGTACGGGATTTGCACTCTGATATTGTAACCGGCTACATGGTAAACTATCAACTCTGTTACGATGACGGCGATGAATAAAATAGGACTAATGAACTTGATTCGGGACCTCAGCTGTCTCACCGGGTGCTTTTAGTTCTAGTTCTAGAATTGAAAGTGGCAGATGGGTAGTCGCTCTTCTTTTAAGGTTTCAGTGCTGGCGGGCTCTGTTGTCCTTCTGTTTGGAAAGTTCTCGGATAATAGACTAGCATCGATTTGGGGGATGTTTCTGAAATGATTTGACTCGGCTCTTCATCTCCTGTCGACATATCAAGTGGCTGTTGTCTTGGGTGCCCTCGTTGCGAAGCACTAAAAGCCTCTATTCGGTTGATTAAGGATGAGGCGCCTTCAATGTTGTGATCGTCTGCTGTACTTGAAGTCTGTGAGCTGCGCAGAAGTGTACTTGTGCCTATGAGAGGCACGACCTTCCCCTCCTCCAAGAGATTAACAGCACCTCGCTTTTTGATCAAATAACATAGAGACTCAGATCCAGAGCTGTGTACTCAGGATCACGTTGCGTCCAAATTTGAACTCCAGCCTTGACACTTTAAGATTCCGGGTCGGGTCGGTCTTGTACGGTATGCCATGTTTCCGACGATACCGATCTGTTGGAACACTCCCTATGAATTCGTTCTCTACGTGCCGTGCAATTATATTCTCTGCCTCAGAAACGGGACGATTGGAAATCAAGGCGAGGTTTCCTCAAAAACCGGGCAAAATACTTGAGTTTTCTCCTTACCTCGTACTTACCTTATTACAACACGATGACAGCTGTACCTGAGAAAACCTTGAGCAACGCGGTTGAGTCGAACTTGAGGGAGCGAGTGAGTCAAACTTAAGGGAGTGAACGAGGTGGCTCAAGGTCGATGTTGAGGGAGTAGATGAGGCAACTCAAACTGCATCAGTGAAATGGGAAATGCATGGAGGTATGGATCCATGCCGTTCCATACCTCCGCCATACCAGTATGGAGCAGGGGGGGCATGCATGGAGCGGACAATCCGGCTCTATGCTCTCCATGCATCCGTACCAGCCATGATCGCAGCTGGTGCTCGTGCAATCCTTCCATGCGTCCCCATACGTCAATGCCAGCTAGGAAGTAGAAATGAACGAATTTATTCCATATTACATACAGGTACAAAACTACACTATACATAGAGCAAATACCACTACACCAGACTACACCTCATTGAATCTGCCCACAAGACCACAGCCATCTCCTATCTTTGTGCTTGCGCTGGTAGGTCCTAATTATCGGAAATAAATACAGTCACTTGACCAACCAAGGTGGAACACACTTACCATCACCTCGACAACGCAATTTGATGATGCAAAGGCGGCTGAGTCGATAACCTTGGGGCTGATTGAGCATAGATACTGTCGAAACCTCACATGTTGTCAGCGAATCAGGAGCCTCGAAAAGAAAAAACTGCAAAAAACAATTGCGCACCATTTCGTACTTGTGAATTCTCTGTGGTTCAAGTCGTCCCTTGAGCCAATATTGATATATGTTGAAACACTGACATCCTGAAGAATTACTTTGGATTCGTATCAGCAAAGTCAACAAATGGATATTCGAGTGGACATTGAGACACGTACTTGATGAGCCGGCTGATGAGCCAGCATAGTTAAAGTGCACAGTGGGTATAACGAAGTAAACCTCACATGGGTAATACACAGAGTGTTCTTGTAGTCTTGAGATGCTTGAGAAGAGGTTATAATCGAGTAGATTGTCCTAAGGCTTAAGGCCTTTCGTCTAGTCTTTTATACATAAGTTTCTGGTACATGTAATGAGTATTACACTAACTGAAACTACTACTAGAAGTAGGTATTCGGCCCTAAAGGCGTAAAAGACATTAGTACTGTGTAAGTACTTCTACCATGAATGGTAGTATGCTTGGTGAGCATAGTCGTGTTTGCCTCATGTATTGGAGGCTCTACATATGCTATTGGATAGTGACTGTCTATAGTGTCATATATGATGAAACTAGATGTACGTAGTAAGATACGTAGACAGAGACGTAGTACTTGCATGAGGACGCAAGTGTTCTAGAGGCGTAGCTCTATAAATAGTGTGACGCGTAAACAACACGTCAAC